TGCCCAACTCTTAATGACCAATATTTTCTATTAATGTGTTACTAATAGAAAGCAACTTAACCCAACAAATCTACAGATTTTACACATGTGCTAGGACTCTAATGAAGCTTGCATATCAGAGTCTCAAGACAACGTGCCCAACTCTTAATGACCAATATTTTCTATTAATGTGTTACTAATAGAAAGCAACTTAACCCAACAAATCTACAGATTTTACACATGTGATAACTATTTTAACACTCCGTCTGTGAGTTGACGAGACAAAATTCGGAGGATTGGGTGGACAACTGAGGGTTGTCATGGTTTCCAGTAATGAAGTTAAAAACAAAAAAAAAACTTGACTGATAAAAGAACTCTCCTCTCAATAATGATTAGCTTTGATTACGTAGAGTTTAGGGGGGTTGACCAGACTGTGTCGTTCTTGTATAAAATAGTAGAAATATTTTATATTCAAGAAATTACTATAGTTAGCTACCTTACAGCAACAACTAATCCTCACTGAGCCTTCCTTAGTCATCTCTATCAAGAGAAAACCAAGGAGAAAATGGCTGTACAGAGCTGAGGAACCAGAGCTTGTATGGTGTGGAAGTTTGGATTGGTTTTACTCCCTCATAAGCTGGAAACTTGTGTGAATTTGGCCATGCTGGTAATCCTCACTGAGCCTTCCTTAGTCATCTCTATCAAGAGAACTTGCAAAAAGATGTGAATGTTTACTAAATTAAAACAATAATTTGATAAATTATTTAAATTTTCTCTTCATAGTTAAATGAAAACAACCCTTCTGGCAGTTCTAGTGTCGGGGAAGACTTCTTATTGAAAGCAGTCCAAACTTCTTCAGCTGGTTCATCTCCAGAATGCAACTCAAAACAGCAACAGCCCACCCATAGTTCAGCAGCTTTTTCACCCTCAGGAATGTATAAATCAAACAATTCTCAGGACAAATTTTCAGATTTTCTTACTAGCCCGTCTCAACCTAGTAGCCCATCCCATGTTACTTTTGTTTCATCATTCAGTGATCTGCCCGTATCCTCCCCTTCATCTAGTACTACTAAGATCCCGGACAGAATTAACAGTGGTAACACTACAACAGCTCTACCTTCTACGCGGAAAAAGGAGAAATTTTCACTCGATCTTTCTGCTGGGGGTAGTCAGGTAAATCACAAAGGGCACTTTTCAGACTTTTCCATCTGGAATTCTCCACCCCGAACAAACTCAGGACCTTCTTCTTCTCTTCTTGGAAATAAAAATAAATCCCCTTATAGCCAAGAGACGTTTCTTACACAAGTTACTGATGATTTGTTGGAACTAAGCCTTGGTGAGCAAGCAGTAAGATATACACAAACTGGAGTAAGTGATAGTACTACAAGTCCTGTAAAGTTTTCTTATGTGCTGCACAAAAGCTGACATTATTTTGATGTTTAGAATTCAACATTTTAATGTTTTTATTGTACAAGAGAATGAAATATTATCGACATATCACATTTTTTAATTCCCAAATAGTGAACATTTTGTAAATTGTACAGTATTTCCAATGTTAATATATAACAGGGTAGGCTAGAAGTAACCAACTTCAAAAAGTTTCCTTCTCACTATGTGAGATTATTCTTTTAAGATTACATTGTAAAGTTGACTTAACATGTTAAAATCAGGCAAGTTTAATTTTAAGAATCATTAGAATATGTATAGCTAAATCAATTTTCCTCGTTTATTTTAAATACCAAGTAAAAATATATTTTCTGGATGATCAGAGGGAGGCTAACACTAGTTAAGTAAGAATTTCTTGGTCCTGGGAAGCATTTCAAAGGAGTATCTTGTTAATAGATATTATAAACATTTCAATAATTTATAAACTATATATCCCTTGCCATGGAGATTAGGACTTAAAAGTGATCATGGTTTTGAATTATATAAAGTAATATGTACAAGCAGTTTGTTGAATCTTACTGTACCTTACAGAGATTCCACTGATAATGTAGTATGTTAATATAAATATAACCCAGAAAGTCTGTGTGATTATCTTTGATCATAATTTTCTGGGTCTCGCAGGATGACATAAAAGTACACAACTCTTTTTCAAGTTGTACTGTGATCTGTAAATTAGCCGATAAATATCAGAGTAACCCATAAAAACGATACTTCAGTATTGATCCTGCTTAATATTTTTACTTGCAGTGTTAGTGAGAATCAAACCACATACCCATACGATTCCAGGATTATCCTAACATAAAAGTTGTGCTTCTGTTGACTTAACTGCAGCTGGTTGCTTCTAGTTCCTACCATGTAACACAACTATTGTTGTAGTGTGCCTAATGAGTGTCAGAAATAATACAGTTTTATGCTTTTGTAAATTTAAAAATAGTTAAAAACTTATTAACTGCCGAGGAATGCAAGTGAGAGTTGGAGCATATTTCAAAAGTGAAATTTCTTTTATGCATAACATAATACTTAACAGCTTTTCTGATACGTCTGTGAATGAACTTGTAGAACATTTTGTGTATTAGAATGTGACTTAAAAACGTTTTCTGTTATATACCGTTTGAATCTAGATTCAGCTGTGATAGTGGCCCTGGAGTTTGCACTTCCAATAAGGCCTGAAAGTATTTGATTTTTAAACTGGATTAAAAAATATATTAACAGCTATAGTAACATTCATTCCCACGTCCCTAGAATTATACCGTTTGAATCTAGATCAGCGGTGATAGTGGCCCTGGAGTTTGCACTTCCAATAAGGCCTGAAAGTATTTGATTTTTAAACTGGATTAAAAAATATATTAACAGCTATAGTAACATTCATTCCCACGTCCCTAGAATTAACCAGCAGGACAAACTAAACTGTTAAAAAATAACTGGGTTCATCTCTAAGAAACTCCTAAAGCTACCCCCTAACACTTGAAATGCTTGTTTTTCATATTACATTTCTTGCACCTTTTAAAATAGTTTTGTCATACTCTGTAAAGATTGTTATACCTATGATGGAATAGGTTATGGAAATAATTGTTTGTTAATTTTAAGTTTTGGTTTCTTTTAAATTCAAAATGTAATGCATTGATCATCATGCAACTTGTATTATTTTACAATCCTGGCAGTTAAATGATGACTGGAAAGGTAACTCTTTCCAGGTGATATTACTATAGTTTCAGAACTTATTACAAGACGTGTAATAGGAGTCTTATTTGTAAGTCTGTAACACTGTAATTCTTTATTTCCATAAATGTACATAACCCCCTGATAAATGGTGATAAAGATTTATGCCTGTTTTTGGTTAAAAATTAAATAAGTTATGACTGCATTTACTTTGGTATCTGTATAGTTGTTTCTAGTCTACCCTAAAAAAGTGTTATATTTGAATTTTTATGGTTGTATATGTTTTACTAAAATACTCGTGTTGGTTTAAGTAATCATTATATGGCAATTATCACACCTTTCTTTTCATTTAATGTGGCTGGTTAGAGCAAAAGATCTGTTAAAATGGGCAGAGGTGACTTTCCTGCTGATTTTGTTCCTGACCAAGAATATTTTTATACATTGCACTGTGTTTATAATTTCTTTGTGCTTCTGTGGAAAACATTTTTGATAGTTTTTGAAGTAAAATTTGTCATAATTTAACAATTGAATTCTGCAAGTTTCAGTTGTTAGTTCAGTTTCTTGATTTTATAGCATTTTTTGACAGTATATTTGTCCTTTTTTTGAAAAAGAAGTTAAAGAAGTAATGAAACAGGAAGAAAAATATTTTGGTTAACATTAACCGAATCTCCCATTTATGTATTTTTTACTGTATTTCTACATGTTTTAGTTGCATACAAAATTTAACCAAGTACAGTTCCTCTTAATTAATTATTCTCTTCTGAATCCAACTATTAGTAACAACTTATTTATGTTATCTACAAAATAATATTACATCACCATCTTTAAAAGACTTCTATGAACTTTATCAGTTTAAAAAGTTGTAGAGTCATTTAACTGTTCTAGAAAAAAAAAAAGTCAACATACTAAATTTTTCTTAACAACTGCAGGAATTAGATACCCCTTTAGTTGGTTGTACTGGTAATAAAATTTACTTCTTAAAAGTGGACATTTTTTTCCCATCCTTATTTACTTGGAGTAGTTAGCACCTTCTGTATATATACATCAAAAAAGGGTTTGTGATTATTATCAGAATAATGGAATTTTTCTTCCAAGAAAAAAAAACAATCATAAAATTCTCTGTTTTGTCTCTTTTTTTTTTCCTAAGATATTTACTTCTCAAGCTATACGTTTATATGTAAATAATAATGGTATGGAAGATAAAAAAAGAAATGTGAATTTTGTTATATTCTTTTACACACCATGAATGTTTACTTAACACTTAGTCTGTGGGTCAGGGAAGGATGTTTGGTGGGTTGATTACCAAACAAGGCTTTCCGGTACTCTCGTTTTTAAAATTCTGAATAGAAATTGAACTCTTTGCAATATCTGGATTCTCAATTGGCCACCAGCATGGCCAAATTCACATAAGTTTCCAGCTTATGAGGAAGTAAAATCAATCCAAACTTCCACACTATACAAGCTCTGGTTCCTCAACTCTGTACAGCCATTTTCTCCTTGGCTTTCTGTTGTTCTTTCTGTTGTTAATAAGTAACTTGGAAATGAATTGATCTTCCCGTTCACTCATAGGTTGTTAGAAATCAAAGAAAATGTTATAATGTGTTAACCACATTATACCTCCCATATTCAATGCACATAAAACCTTTTACAGAATCATATTATAACATTAAACTAACCCAAACTAAGCTTATTAACAATACTTTTTTTAAATTGCTAGTTCACCCTCAACTAGATATTTGAGCATCATGCACATTAAATGTAGAGAATTCTGAGAACTTTGTGTCATTTTTCTTGTATTATCTCTATGTTGGGGCACTACTGCTAGTTGGTAAGACCAGGCTTTAATTCTCACCTTGTAATCATTTTGTGCTTTTTATAGTTTTCATGCTATAACTTTTTAATTAGTAAGCATACGTTCACGAATTTTGGCAGATTATCAGTAAACATTAGAAGGCTTTCGTTAGCAAAATATCCAATTTTTTTATTAATGTTTTTCACGTGTTGTCTATCCAAGATGCAAAATAATTTTCATTATAAGATTAAAAATACTTTGATGCATTAGAAAATTTTCAAATTTCACATGCAAAAGCTTTATATTTTATCTGTTATTTTCACTATCAAATCTGTATGGGTTCAGTGGATTTGACCGATCTCATAACCACCACAAAAAATTTGGAAATAAATATAAATTATGCTTTTTTGTTCTAGAATGACTACAGATTATATCTCAAATGCAAGTGTTTAGTCTAGGTAGGTTAAATATCATAACATTTATATAATGACGTTTTAGCCGTTACTGGCTAACATTAAAGAAGAAAGATCGACAAGGCGCATGTGGACACATGTTACCGTATCCAAGCGTATAAAATTTGACCTTTACGAAGTGACTTGTCTTGGTTGTGTTTTAGTGGACTAGTATTTTGTAAAATACAGTCACATTTCAATTATAATACATTATTACTTTTTTACAAACAAGTTCTTATATTTATTTTTCTTAACACACAGAACAGTACAGCAAACAGTTATCTCTTCTAGTTACGACCTTTGTACTCATTTGCTGCTTGATGTAGGTTGCTAAGCCTTATAAAATTTTGCACATGGCAGCTGTGAAGCCCACCTAATCCCCTGAATTTGGTCTTATTGATTTACAGACTGAGTTTTAATCATAACATCATGGTAAAACGAACATACTTGAACTGAATCACTTACTATAGTTTAAATGTGAGGATGAGCACCATACTTCATTTGAATTGTGTATTGAATCTTATAGGTTGTAGTAAATACATTTGAATTGTGTATTGAATCTTATAGGTTGTAGTAAATACATTTGAATTGTGTATTGAATCTTATAGGTTGTAGTAAATACATTTGAATTGTGTATTGAATCTTATAGGTTGTAGTAAATACATTTGAATTGTGTATTGAATCTTATAGGTTGTAGTAAATACATTTGAATTGTGTATTGAATCTCATAGGTTGTAGTAAATTCCTTTTTCAGATACATTCATCTATTTCCTCGTATAAATGTACATAAAAACGTTTAAAAGAAATTCAGAACCCTTATTCTGTGGGCCTGAAGGTAACTAAAAATGGTTAAAATATTAATTCTAAATCTCATTAATTTAAAAGGTTGTATTTATAACCAAGTTCTAAATACAATGAGGTTACAACTGTAATATTTATTGTTTATGTATTATTGGCTGATAATTCCTGTTTCATCCTGTACTTAACCTTTTTAAAGGAACACCAAATTTCCGTAAGAAAGTTAACTTCAAGGGGCAATGATAACATCATTTACACTAGAATGACTGTTTTAATTACTGCTAGTTAATAATACTTATAAAAGCAGATACTTCAATGAAATTAGTTGACACCGTTGTTTTGGTTTTAGAGTTATGTAATAAAAGACAAGCATCAGAAAGAAGAACAAGAAATTCAAACTTTGTGCTACAATATTTACAGACATTTCCAGAACTTGTGATTCTGTCATTACATAGATATTGTTATAAAAGGAAACACTGTATAGTATTGTAAAGTTCTGATGACCTATAGAGGAGATATTTAAAATACCATTTCAATGAACAATCTGAGCCATTTCTACATAGGCAGTGCTGCCACCTGCCTGATACTGATATTAAAACTTTATTGTACTAAACTTATCACTGATGTGTAAATGGAAATATTTGTGGCTTTTACTTTCAGTTTTAATATTATGCATATCTCTCTAAATACTTAAAACTATTTTAGAATATGAAAATATTGAGTGTTTTTAATCGTAATAATGTCTACATTAATTTTTCCAGTCTCAGAACCACCAATTAATGGTCCACAACAAGGAACTGCTGGAGCATATTCAAAGATTAGTACAACACATCCAAGAGTTAGAAAGGAAATCAAATCCAGTATTGGGAGAACTCTCTTCCCCTCTTCAGGTTTTTATTCTTTTTTTTTTTTTTCCTTTGTGGCATTAAAAAAAGGCGAAAGGAAATTTGTTTTTACCATTATTTTCTTTATTTGTTTCTAAAGAATCTTTGTACCTGGCATGGCTTGGTGGTTAAGACACTGTGCAGATTGTGAGTTCAAATCTCTTTCAGCCGTGGAAGCATTATAATGTAATGGTCAATCCTACTATTTGTTGGTTAGTGTAGCCCAAGCATCACCATTGATGCAGACATCTAATGTGCCCCAATGGTAGTAAGCAATCTTAAAATAATGACTAAATAATCAAGTTTTCTTGACAAGTGCGTGTTAACGGTGGGGGGATTAGCTTAGCACTATAAGTACAAAATTACACTATGTGAATGATGTTTTATTAACATTTAACTTTGAACAAAGAAGTCACATGACCGGAACTGTTGTGAAACTTAGAAGAGGTATCTAGGCACCCCGGGGTGTTGGTTTAGAGTAGGGTTGTTTTGTTCAATTAAGATGGATTCGGATATATATATACAGATTGAACAGTCAGTGTAAATTACTTGTACCTGATGATGACAAAACCTTGTCGAAACATTGTACATTTGCTGTTATGTTAAACTTATATTAAAGTTTTTCTTCATTACCCATTCAAGCCGTCTCCAGCCTTTATTGTGTTTGCTTATGTTAGGTATTCATTTCATTGCTGTCTTTGAAAGGGCTGAAAACACTTTTTATTGCAGTTTATTTTTTTCTTTGGTAATTTTCCTATATTTACTGTAATACTGAGGCAATATAACCATAGTATATGTGTGAATTTGTTTAATAATTGTTTGTTTATTTTTTCCTTGTGTTTTAAGTGTACACAGTAAAAATGGTATTGCAAGTTCTTTCTTTTTATAGTTGTACTAATTTTTGGTATTGTTTTCAGAAAGCAATTGACAAATAATTATTGTGAATGATTTAACATTTTCCAGCAATTATTATATTTGTTATATTGTTTAAACTGTTAAATTTAGTCAACTTAAAGTAGTATTTTTAAGTTAAGTATTACTTACTGAGACTGTATTAAGGAAAAGTGTCATTGAATATTTATTTTTCATTCAATTTTGTAAATCTGAACATGCCTCAGAGTTAAAGTCAGGTTTTAATTTACAGGATATATTTTCAGCTTTTACAATAGTTCAAATTCTTTTTGTTTGTTTTTTCCCTAATTAAAATTATCTTCAAACTATGCTGATCTGATTATTAAGAAAAACAAGATAGATACTGGACATTAAGCTGACTTTGTTAGACAGGCCTGATCATTATAATCAAAAGTATGAATTGTAATATCCAATTTAATTTACTGCCATGAATGCTTTTCTCAGCACATAATTGTGTTTTAAAACGAAATTTATTTCAATGTTTTTTAAATTTCTAATATGGGCTGTTGCAGATTGTAGTCTTTCAATACTTCAGTTTGAAAAAGTAAAAAATTAAAACATTGCATGATTCTGGTGTGTTTCTAAAAATAAGTAAACTTGTATTTAGGTACTGTGAACTCAAGAATAAAATAAAATAAATTACTTTTGTACATATACTACTTTTTCCTTATATAAATATCACAAGTGTACTGAATTATTTATTAAACTTTTTTTTTACCATTTTGTTAATTTGCAGGATCATTTAAAGGACTTGAGAAACCAGATAGTTCAACTTGTTGATGAAAACAAAAGGTGAGTGTTTGCAAAGGACAAGTCATAGGAACATTACGTAAATACATTTGTACATTTTTAAAACAAAATGATTAATTGTTATATCTTAGTTTATCTAATGAAATATATTTCAGACACAAAAAGCTAAACAGAAAAAAATGTAATCTCCAATATAACAGTTATATTTGTATTAATGTGTCTTCTTCATTACTCTTTCATATACAGGCTTTGGTTTTGTAGAAGCTGGCGTACCATAAATTTTTGTAGTGGTATCAGCTTCATAAGTTTTATGTGAAAAGAAATTATTAACAACCTGAATTCCAATCTAATTTCTTTTTATGTTTAAATAACATAATATGAAAAATTTTACACAAACGTTATAGATTTAAGCAAAATATTACGTCGTCAAGAAATTAATGTCGTGTTTTGGAACACTTTCATTAACCACCCCACTAAAAATGTACATCACATATAATAGTTAAACGAACAGCCTAAACGTCATGTTAGTGTAGCCTGTATAATGTGTAAAGTTTAGTATACTCTAACCCCTTATAGTGATGGCATTTGATGAGACACTCATTCGGCCTTAAAAACTGTGATGGAAGGGGCTGACATGTTGGAATTGATATTGATACTCTGAGGATGCTTATTGAGTCTAACCCAAGGCAACACACTTGTGAAATGGCCCTGAAATTGCATGTCTCTCATGAAACAGTACGTAGACATCTAAGGAATATGGGAAAACTCCAAAAATAAGGTGTTTGGGTGCCTCACAAACTCTCCGATGATCATCATTTCCAACGTGTGAACATTGCTTCTTCTCTTGTGGCACATAATATTCGTGAACCATTTTTGGACAGAGTTATCATCGGTGATGAAAAATGGATTCTATATGTGAATATTAAATGCCAAAAACAATGGCTCAGTCCTAGACAAAAACCACTTCCAACCCCAAAACCTGGACTCCATCCGCAGAAAGTGATGCTTTTATCATTTGGTGGGACATCAAAGGAGTAATTCATTTCAAATTCCTCAATTGACAGTGAACTGTCAATGCAGAGATCTATAGGAACAGGAATATTTAAATCAAGTCCTTCATCAGAAACACCCTTCACTCGTCAATCATAAAGGTGTTCTTTACGACAATGCATGTCCACATGTGGCACGTTTGATGCAACACAAGATTGTGGAGTTGGGCTGGGAAGTTCTCCCTCACCCACCATATTATCCAGATATGGCACCATCAGATTACCATCTCTTTCCTTTTGCTGCAACACCATCTTAATGAGAAAATGTGAGCAAATGTGATTCGAAAGATGTTAAAGAGGACATTGACATG